GCTTCCTGAGATTTGTTTCAGATGGAATGGCAGATCCTGCTAGTTATGGCAACCCTGACCGTGACATTGAGCAGGTCTCTCTCTCTCTCTCTCTCTCTCTCTCTGTCTATTGTATATATACACATGCTTATAAATGTTCAACTGTAAGGACATGCCCAATTTTCAATACTATATGCAATTGGTTAACATAAAGGTGTGTTAAGGAGAAAATTCCTTGAAAAATTATGTTATACATTAGTCTTATTCATGCTATTGTACTGGATTCTACTATTATATGCATGTAGCCACCTCGTTGTTCTGGTGTGATTACAGACTTAAAGCAAAATTACACTTCAATATTCCAATTTTACCCCACCAGGGAACTTGTTTGATCATCATGATGAATCAAATTGTGTTATGTGGTTTAGCTATGTTTGACTTTGTTTTGGTTATTTAAGCTGTTTTGAGTATGGCTCTGGAGGCTTACATCATGGTTCTGTAGCCTTACCAAGGTTCAAAGTATTGACTGTATTCGACTCCTCGACAACTTCTGAGATGATACCACTTCACGTTACGTAAAATTCCAAGTCTCACATGACTCAGTCAAGTCGTCTGAGACGTCTCCAAGTCAATCGTGAGTCAACCACTTATCATCACCAAATCGCATGATACCATTCCGCAATTGCGTGATATGGCCTGAATTTCTCTCCATATCCAAGTTCTTCAGCTGGGTTGTATTGTCCAATACCATCTGTTACACTGCGACCAATATGTCTCAGAGCCCTTCAAGTTGATGGCCGATATCGCGACCTTGAATCATATGACTTACTAGTGGGGATAGTGAGGAATTGAGCAATTTGGTGTGAACTAGGATGCTTGATGGGCAGTAGTGGTAGCTCCTGCTCCTATTTCTTGTGCTGGTTTGTAGCATTGAGATGTGTCATAGTTTGTAGTGGGTAAACAATTCGGTTTGTTGACTCTAAATTGTGTTAGTTTCTCAAGAAAAAAATTCATTAAGCCACCACTTTAGTTTTTATGTGATTAGGGACTTGAAGCAGAATTTTACTTCAATATGCTGGTTAAAATGAATTTTTAGTATGCAAACTTGACTAGTTGGTACATGATGAGTATCTACTCCACAGTGACTCAAGTTACCACTAAGATAAGCCACTGATTCAGCTGCATATAGCCTCCATAACTAATATTTTACTCTTAAAACATCCCTATCCTAGGAAGTTTGTTAGTTTTTGATAGTAGTGAGAGCTTTTGATTGCACCAGATATATACTTATTCACCATCTTCCTTAAAAAAGAAAGAGAAAATTTCATGGATAGGAAATTACATGCGACAAGAGATTTGAACAGAACTCGTAGTCCATATCTATTTTTTTTTTTTTAGTAAATTCAGTTTCTCTACGCCCATGTGGTTAGGAGATAAAAAATAAACCTGTAAGCGGACAAAAAAAAAAACAGTTTAGTACTGTCGCGGGGAGGACTGTCCAGCCTGTATTTGCCCGGGCTCTGCACTTCCACGATCCTGAGTAGCCCTGGAAGACCTCCATTTTCAGCAGCTTCCAAAGCAATGTCTGAATCATTGTCATGTCCTTCAGGGAAGTTGAGAATTGATATATCTCCAAATTTAAAGATAGTACATACAGTTGTTTGATGATATTTAAAGCCTTTTGCTTTGCCTCTCTATGGGTCTAATGCTTGTTTAGACCAAACTAGATGGATTGAACCAAAATCAAAATTGAACTGATAATGAATCAAAATTGAAAATTGAATGAATCTAAAAAAAATTGAACCAAAGAGATTGGTGTCGGCTTTTGATGTCCATCATTGATGTATGTGCAATCCTAGCCAACTCAAATGTCAATGAGGGTTTATCTGAAGAAATGAATATCGATGGTGATAGTGTGAAGAAAAAAAGTGTGGTGGGTGTTGGTGGTTAATCGGTGAAAGATAAAATGGGTGATCTAGTCATGAAAATGGGAGATGGGTAGTGGTGGCTGACATTTGTTGATTGGGAGGTGGGTGACTGTGGTCATCATGGTTGGTAGTGGTGACTGTCATGGATCGTCGAGTCTATTGAGAGAGATATGGAAGTTTGGGTACAGAGAGAGAGAGAGAGAGAGAGAGCGTTGAGGGTTTTTTTAGTCTTTTTGACATTTTTTTTAGCCCAAACGGTAGAGCATGCAGGTTAGAGCATCTACAACCCTTACCCCTTTTTTGTATCCTTTTTTAAAAAGGGTAAAAAAAACTCTTAAAATCTTCTTCAATGCTAGGGTCATACTCATATCAAATGAAGGAAAACTCTTTTTAAACTCAAATCAAGAGAGACTCAAATTCTTATCATTTTCACCAATGGTGATATTACACCCTTCTTTAAAGATCCAACTGTTATATTTACCCTCTTTTAAATTTGAATTTGTCCTCATTTAAAAAAAAATTCCCTTTTTTAAATTTTAGTTTCTTCATTGGAGAAGTCTATATCAAATTAAGTTTTTTACCCTTTTTTTTACTCAAATTTGGGTAAGGGTTTAGATCTCTATTGTAGATGGTCTTAGTTGTACGCACTGTTAAATTGGATGAAAAACGTCACAATACATTTTAGTATATTAACCACATGGGAGTTATGTGCTATTTTAAAAGGACTAGTTATTTTCCGTGCATGAAGGCATGAAGTAATAAAAAAAAATTGTTAACAATAAAAATATTTGTATTCACATCCAAAATTAAATCACAAACATAGAAAAAAGAGAAAATAATTTAAATATCGATTGTAGTGAGGGTGAGCGGTGGTAGTGATGGTGAGAAACGATGATGATTGTGGTGAGTGACGACGACTGTGGTGGTGGTGGTTGGCAACGGTGATGGTGATTTTTTGGTGACGATGAGGTAGTGATAGCCTTAGGTGACAGGGGTAGTGGTGGGTGACGGTGATGGTAGTTGGCAATGGTGGTGGTGGCGATGGTGGGTTGTGGTGGTGGGCGACGACGGGTGCTTCTAGGCAACAGTGTGATAGGTAATAACAAAAGGCAGAGGTAGTTGTAGTGGTGGTATGTGTGGTAAGAGTGGGTGACAGTGGGTGGTGGCAATGGTTGACGATGACAGATGGTAGCGGTAGGTGTGGTTGGAGTAGGTGACAATGGTTGTCAGCGATGGTGGGTGACGAAGGGTGGTGGTGGGTGCTGACAGTGGACTACGGTGGTAGTGGGATGATGGTGATATTGATAATAAATATAAAAATCAAAATGATGACGGTGGTGGGCGGCGATGATGGTGGTAAGGGTGGGGGTGATTGGTGGTGGGGTGACAGTGGTGGTGGCAGCGGTGGTGGTCATTGGAGGTTGTGGTGGGGCGATAGTTGTAAGGGTAATGATGAAACAGTGGCGGTGGTAGTAAGGTGCAACAATAGTGGTGATGGAGGTGGTGGAGGTGGTGATTGTGGGACAATTGGGGTGGTAAGGTGGTTGCAGCAGTGGTGGTGGTTGTAGGGTGGCACCAACAATGGTGGTGGAGCAGTGGAGGTGGTGGTAGTTGAGACGGTGGTGGTGGGACGGTGGGTGTGGTAGGGTGGCAACGGTGGTGATAGCGGCGACAATGGTGGTGATGAAGATGGTAATTATGGTGATGGAATAACGAAGATGGTGGTAGTGTAGGGGATAGTGGGACAATTTCAAATACTATTTTTTTTAAAAAAATTCTTAAGAAGTTATAAATTATGGAAACACTTTTAAAAAGTCATCACAAACACTCTTAAAAATTTATTTTTTCTATTAAATTTAAAGTATTAAGATTAACCCTTAAATTAATTTTAAAATAAAATTTAAAGAGATTTAACTGTAAATAGTAAAAATTATTATTTTTATTTTTAAAATTTAAATTATATTATATTTTATTATATAGAGAAGGAGGTGATTTGCAAAAACATCAAATTTAAGTTTGGCCAAAAATTTTATTTTGAGATGTCGCGTAACCTCAACTCCAACAGTACATTTGAGTCCCTTAACTGTCCTTCGGACCTAATTGAGAGAAAAAAAACCCTCGTTCCACTTGCACGTGAAAGAAGTCGATTCTCTCTTTCCCTCTCTTCTTGCATTCGGTCGTCTGGTTCACACTCCACAATCGGAGACGGAGGCAGTGCTATTCTACTTGACTTCGCTGTGAGAGCTACTCATCCATCAATTAAGGTCGAGATAGGAAATTTCTGAGTTTTTGTTGGTGTTGAGTGATGGGGGCTAGTAGTGATCCGAACCAGGACGGGTCCGACGAGCAGCAGAGACGATCGGAGATCTACACATACGAGGCGCCTTGGCACATATACGCTATGAACTGGAGCGTCCGCAAGGACAAGAAGTACCGTCTCGCCATAGCCAGCCTTCTGGAGCAGTTCCCCAACCGGCTGGAGATCGTCCAGCTTGACGACTCCAATGGTGAGATCCGCTCCGACCCGAACCTCTCCTTCGAGCACCCATACCCACCCACCAAGGCCATCTTCATCCCCGACAAGGAGTGCCAGAAACCGGACCTTCTGGCCACCTCCAGCGACTTCCTCCGGGTCTGGCGAATCGCCGACGACAACAGCCGCGTGGAAATGAAAAGCCTCCTCAACAACAACCGTAACAATGAGTACTGTGGTCCCCTCACCTCCTTTGACTGGAACGAGGCGGAGCCCAAGCGCATTGGCACATCCAGCATCGACACC